AGCAAATGATCCAGCAATCACATTCTGGGTATATATCCAAAGGAAATGAAAACAGGATCTTGAAGAAATAACTGCACTCCCATGTTTATTGCAGCATTATTCACAATAGCCAAGATATAGAAACAACCAAATATCTGTCAATGGATGAGTGTATAAAAAATGAGGTGATATATGCATGAAAAAGGATATAAATATATATAAATATGTGATATATGTACATATAAAGATGTACACACACAATGGAATATTATTCAGCCATGAGAAAAAAGGAAATCCGTATGTGACAACATGGATGGACCTTGAGGGCAATATGCTAAATGAAATAAGTCAGACAGAGAAAGACAAATACTACATGACATCATTTATATTTGGAATCTAAGACGAGCCAAACTAGTAGAAATAGAGAATAAAATGGTGGTTACCAGGGGCTGGGAGATGGGGGCAAGGGTACAAACTTTTAATTAGAAGATGAATAAGTTCTGGAGATCTAATGTATAACATGGTAATTATAGTGAAAAATACTGTATTATATACTTGAAAGTTCCTAAGAGAGTAAATCTTAAGTATTCTCACTGCAAAAAAAGTGGTAATTACGTTTTGTGTTGGGGTGCTAGCTAATGCTACAGTGATAATCATTTTGCAGTATGTAAGCGGGTCAAATCAACACATCGTACACCTTAAACTTATACAATGTATATGTCAATTACATAACAATAAGGGTGGAAAACTAAATAATGAAAATACTAATATTTTAAGTCTAAAGTTTGTGATACCTCCAAGTATCTTCAGACATCTCTTGGGAATTTCAATGTTTTTTCAAAACACCTATTTTAAAGGCCTACTTAATATTACAACGCAATTCAGTCCCTGATATACCATTAGCAATCCAGTGAAAAATGGCAAATAAAGATAGAGTGTTTACATACTGGTAAATTTCAAAATTAATGCTAAATATAGCTATTTTCTTTCTTCATTTTCTTTTTCTGAAATACCAGTGAGGTATGTAGAAAAATGAAAATCCAAGGAAATCACATATCTTAATTATTTTTATTTATATCTGCCTGTGTAAGGGATGGGGGAATTGGGAACATAGAATTAGGAACCTGAGAAGTTAAAAGTACATAAAATAGAATTTAAACAGATATTCGAATAGCAGATGCTTTTGTTGCATGTTTATAGGAAAAATGAATATCAATACATAATTCATACAAATGTCTCTACAAGTCACTAAACGATCCTATAGTGAATGTTACTAGAAGAATTTATTTCCATTCTTTTATGTGATAACTTCATAATAATGTGATTTTATTTTTTATTTGTTGGGGTAACATTGGTTAATAAAATCATATGGGTTTCAAGTGTACAATTCAGTAATATGTCAAATGTGTGTTACATTGTGTGTTCACCACCCAAAGTTAAATTTCCTTCTATCATCATATATTTGACCCCCTCTACTCCTATCTACCTCCCTACTTCCCCCTTCCCTCTGTTAACCACTAAACTATTGTTTGTGTCCATGAGTATCTGCTTATTTGTCATGTTTGTTGCTTTCAGTTTTATATGCCATAAGTGAAATCATATGGTTCTCAACTTTTTCTGACTTACTTCACTTAGCATGATAATCTCAAGATCCATCCATGTTGTCACAAATGGCAGTATTTCATCTTTTCTTATATGGCTGAGTAAGATTCCATTGTGTATATGTATCATGTCTTCTTTAGCCAATCATCTGCTGAAGGATACTTTAGTTGTTTTCATGCCTTGGCCAGCAAAGATATATGCACCTCAAGGTGCAGATAAAAGTTTTCAGGGTTTTGCGGGTAGATAGCCACGGGAAGGATTGCTGGGTCATATGGTAATTCTATTCTTAATTTTTTGAGGAACCTCCATACTGTTTTCCATAGTGGCTATACCAATTTACATTCTCTATCGCAGATATTTTGGATCTTCATTTCATTCCATTCAAAATATTTTCCGATTTACCCCGAGAATTCCTCTTTGGGTGTGAGGTAGTATCTCATTGTGGTTTTGATTTGCATTTTCTTAATGGCTAGTGAGGTTGAGCATCTTTCATATGTCTGTTGGCCATTTGTATGTCTCCTTGGGAGAAATGTCTGTTCAGGTCCTCTGCCCATTTTCTGATTGGACTGATTGTTTCTTATTGTTTAGTTGTATGAGTTCTTTTGTATTTTGGATATTAGGCCCTTATCAGAAGTGTTGTTTGCAAATATCTTCTCCTATTCAGATAGTTGCCTCTTTGTCTTGTTGATGGCTTCTTTTGCTATGCAGAAGCTTTTTAGTTTGATATAATCCCATTCATTTATTTTTGCTTTTACATCCCTTGCCTTTGAGGTCAAATTTATAAAATCCTCTCTAAATCCAAGATCTATGAGTTTGGTACCTATGTTTTCTTCAATGTTATTTATTGTTTTGGGTCTTATATTCAGATCTATGATCCATTTTGAGTTATTTTTGGTGTATGGTGACAAATATCAGTCTAGTTTCATTCTTTTGCATGTGGCTTTCCAATTTTCCCAGCATTATTTATTGGAGAGGATTTCCTTACTCTGTTGTAAGTAAGTTTTTGGTTTTTTTCTCGAACATTATTTGCCTGTATTGATTTCATTTTAATCAAAACAAGAAGTGGGAAGAACGATGACACAAACCCAAAGCAATTTTTTTATAATGTTAATTTATAACCGTGTATGAAACTTCTGTATTTTCATTGCTCATATTGACTTGAGAAATTCTTTAAGAGGGTTCTTCTCATTTCCAGGACATTTTGGCTTGGTATATTTCCTATGTTATAAAGCTTTCTTGTCAGAATTCTTCATGTGTATTTTATCTTTAGTTTCTAGGTGGGGAAAACAGAACAGCTTTGCAGTGTTGGACTTCTGCTGTTGCTTTTTAAGAGTGCTTGGTATACTGTTCTGACTTCGAGGGCTCTGTCCAGGAAGTGCTCAAACATGGACTAGCTGAGTGACAGGTGTGTATAGATATCTGTATAATTTTTGATCTTACATTAGAGTAGAAGAATTTAGTCCCTGTGGAATTGGAGCAAGAGACTAAGAGAGAAGTAGCTGGGCTCTTGACTCACTCTCTTTATGAACTTAAATAAGCCACTGAATTTCTCTTGCCTCAATTCTCCAACTCATATGACAGAAATAATAGTCCTGCTCTGACTGGAGTACAAAGTTGTTGAGAGGCCTAACCAGAGTAAATGGTTACAAATTTTACAGCTCTAAGGGGATTTAATGAGGATGATTCTGATAAAGGAAATTGGGGCCTGTGCAGGTGGGTGATCAGCAAACATTTGTTGTGAGGCTATCAGCTTACCCTGATATCAGGAGCTATGGCAGTGACATGCCTGAAGCAGAATCTAAACCTCAAGTAAATTGACTTTGCTTTTGAAGTCCTTCCTTTATGAGGGAAGAATTTGTGATGGGAAACCAGTCGGCTTATGGTGGTGTGAGTTGTGTAGGGTGGGGCACAAATGACCTGCTAGTTTTGTTTCCATTTTTGATTTCCAGGTTTCTGTGGGTTTCTCTCATCTTGTTTCCTGTTTTTCCTGAAAGCCTGAGTATATGAATATCTTTTTTCCTGCAGGTGTTAGTAACTTCTTTTATCCTTCCGGACATTCTCAGCGATCATTGCCTTTCATGTAGGTTCCATGATTTGGGTGAGTGATATATTAACAAACAAAGTTTCCCAAAGCGAGGGACTTCGGTGTCTGAACATTGATGTGAGGTGTTCTTATCTGGAATGATGATGCAGATATCGAAATCCACACAGAAAATTTTTAGAAACAGTTAAGTTTTAAAAAATATAATCTGTGGTCAAATTCTGTAAAACATGGCTTTGTCATTAAACTAATGCCAATAAACTATCAGTAAATCATGAAACATCACTCGCAAACAGCTGAGAAAACTAACACTATTTAAGAGTCTTAAAATACATAATATATATCTGCAAACGTTTATTATTATACAAATATATACATATGTATTAAGTTCTTTATGTATGTCTTAGTGTTTCTGAATAAAACCTTATATGTATATACATATTTTAACTTTTTTCAACTTTTTACATAATTTCTGCTTAGAATTCATGCATAATACCATCCTGTTTAGGGTTTCTAATTTTTGTGTCCTTGAGTTTCATATTATTTTTTCCTTCTTTGACAAAAATTATAGCTGCTTAGAAAAGTGACCGCTCACCCTCAGTGTCACTGCTGGCCTCCCTAGCAACTGGAACTAATGCTGCTCTGGAAGCCTCCCTGGGGATTCCTCTGGGGTGGAAGTTCTCAGCCTCAACTGGAATTTAGCAACAGTAAAGAAAAAGAAAGAAAATGTAATTTTCCAAAGTCAAGTTGGCTAAGACTCCTGTTTTCTCATACAATCGCCCTCCCTTCTAAAGGGTAACTCTCAGGGCACTTCATTATGTTAAGAGGAATTACATCGGGATGAGAACCCTGCTACGCTGAGCCTAAGTACACAGCTCAATACAAGTAGGAAGACTTATGAGTTAACATTTAAAAAATAAACTTCACCCATGAAAGTTCTGCAGTGATTTTTAAAAAATATTTTCCAGTTTGAAGTATCGTGTGAATTTCTCCCATTCAGAAAGTTTTCCCAAATCAATAATTGCCACATTTACTGTTTAACACTTATAATTGGTAGTTTTCCAAATAATACATTGCTTTAGAGAATTTTCAAGAAAAGATGTACATAATAATTATGCAAGTATTAATATCATTTCTCAGATCATTTTTGGTAAAGCATTGCTTAAAATTATAATAAATATAGCCACCTTTGATCTTTGACCAAGCTAAGTATTCTTTGAACTTGCTCATGTTTTGTTTTGTTTTGTTTTGTTTTGGTTTGGTTTGGTTTGGTTTGGTTTGGTTTGAACTGAAATTTTACTGGATATAGATGTCACTTGTTAATAATTATTCTTCCAGGTCTTATGGAGAAGCTAAAGGCTTATATGTCATTAAATGAGTTTAACTGTAAGGAAATCTATGGAAGTCAATGTACAAGAATGTTAAAACTGCTAAAAGGAGTCATGATATTTGGGTATGTTATCCTTCTTAAGTAAAAACTTAAGTATCCATAAAAGAAGATCCCGAAAGAGCATTGTGTTGTCATCTGTGGTTTAGGTGCAGTAGAATTCATCCTGCCTTCTGCTTTCATTCTATTCCTACAGTCTCTCCTCCACGGAGTTCCTTTAACAAGTTAAGTCGGATGATGTCATTCCTTGGATAACAACCCTCCAATAATGCCCCATCTCATTCAGAATAAAATCCAAGTCTTTATGTTGCCTTAAGAGCAGGATTACCACCTAATTTATTATTCCAAAAGAGATGATTTTGAAAATGAAAGGGGCCTTAAGAGTAACTATGCCAGGGCAACAGGTGAAAATCATGCTTGTTCCAAGCAAAGCAGACACAGAGGCACCTACCTAGAACACTTTACATGAACTAGCACTACTACCTCACAGACTCATTCTATCAGTGTCCTCTTCTCTCAATCCTCACTTAGCTATAACCACATCTGCCTATGAATACTTTTCAAATATACGAGCATGCCCCAGACACCTGGAATGTTCTTCCCATAGATATCTGAATATCTTGCTCTTTTCAACTTAATCCTCAAATCTCATCTATTCAGGAAAGCCTGACTCCTTCCTAAAATAATATCCTTCTCCTCCTTCACTCTCTCCTTCTTACTCTGCCTTATTTTTCTTCATAACATTTATTACATTCCAACATAATTATATATGTACTTTTTGTTTGTTTCCTAATTGATTATGTTTCTCCTACCAGAAGACAAGCTCCATCAGTGGATAAACTTTTTTTTTTTTTAATTGCTGTTTGCCTGGCATCTAGAAAAGTGCCTGACACTTAGTAGGCATTTAATCATACTTGGTGAATGAACAAATGAATACACGCATAGAAGAAGAAGTCGATGGCTAGAATGGAGACTGTTCTAAGAGGAAAGAGCAGCTTCCATTTACTTATGGATGGCAATTAAGTGAGAATGCTCGTAAAAAAGTGAGAGTGCTTGTATTCTACAAGGTTAATAACCCTCATAGGCGAATGAATGTCTTCACTAAGATCAGAGAGGTGCCAGGAGGAGTATCACATAATATAAAGAATGAGTTAAGGAAAGTTTTAGCTAAAGCGAATGGTAAAGACGATATTCTAGAAATGATGACTCGCTGAAATGTTCTTACTATCTGATCATAATGAGATAATTTCCTCCCCGGTGATGCATATTTTATGTCTTTCTAACATATTTAATCCACTTGGGTGGCCTACCATGTGTTTTAATTCAACTTAATTTAAAAATTTTATTTCAAATTTTGTGGCAGTTACTAGATTTAGGAAATCCCTTAACAGATGTTGTTGTCTTAGAAATAATAATATATAACTATCAGTATACCACCTATATGTCAAGTATTATTTTAAGTGTTTTACAAATATTATTTTATTTAATCTTCCAAAAAAACCTTTACGATATTGGTATTCCCATTATGCACACTTTGCAACCAGGAAACTGAGGCACAGATACATTAAGGCAATCTGGTTTCAGAGCCCCTAACCCATTGCCATTACCATATTGTGTGATTTATTTGTTGTTGTTATTTTATAATCATTTTCAGTTTATTGTTCCTGTTAGTTCTGTATTCCACTAGAAAACCCTAAAAGTATTTCCTGTTTTCTTTCGCAAATTATAAATGTAACCTTTTGGATTCAATCTACTCTAACCACGACTAGTTGTTTTTCCCTTAGCTTTTATCATAGTATTTTTATCTTGGTTATTTATTTTATTGTTTATGATCTATCTTTTCTTACTGGAATGTCACCTTTTTAAGGGTAGGGACTTCACTCACTTCTATAACCCCAAACAATGTGTAAGTGCCTGGAATGTAGCAAATGTTAAATAACTATTGGTTGCATAAATAAATAATGAACGAGTTGTATGAAAACTATCATTTTTTCTATATAGCTAATGTAATTCAATCAGTCAGCCAATATTTATTAGCAGCAGTTCTGTGCTAATAAATGCCTAGTGCTGTGCTCCATATATAGCATTTGCTAAATGCCAGGTCATCTCAAGCACTTTATGTGAAGCAACTCTTTTAGTCTCTACAATGACCCTATGAAGTGGTCTGCAAAGATCAAAAACAAAAATAAAAATACAAACATTGAGACATGGCTCCTTTATATAAAGAGCTTAAATCTAGTTGAGAAATAATACTAATGGAAGTGAAATAATTAGAAAATAATATGAGCTTATAATACAGAATATAATTATTAAATTTTGAGTTACAACTAAAGTTTGAAGAGATGTATAAGTAGGTATTTCAACTTTTAAAATGAGTTGATACTTTACTTTAAGCAATGGAAGGAATTTAGATAAATAAAGGGAAGAAAGGAGTGCTATTCCTGGATAGAACTGAATTAAAGTAGAGAACAAGGATGATCATTGCAGCCTGAGAATAATGGTATTTGTCATTGGGCAGGTAGGAGGGGCCAGATCATAGATAGCTTTGAAATCAGGCAGAAAAAGTTGGGTCAGAGGTGACAGGAATCAGTGAATCACTGTGTTTGTGTGTGTGTGTATGTGTGTGTGTGTGTATTTGTGTGAGAGAGAGTGATTTATAAAGTCAGGAAAATAGGTCTTTCCAGTCTTATTATGTGAATTAAATGCAAAAAAGAATAAAAAGCACCTGTCCCGGTTCCTGGCATGAAATTTGCTGTCACTAAATGGTAGTAAATGTCTCTGCTGGTAATAGCAGAGAAAGTTTTGCCTTGAATTTTTAATATGGATAAATAGACTCATTTGGATTATTTATATCAGGTCTATCTTATTTATTTTTATAAAGTCGAACACAGTTTAATCAATAATATTGAGTAAGACGAACATTAAGGATGAAAAAATGAGCAGACCACACATTTACTCCATTATGTTGTTTTAATGGCATAACTATAGACAGATCTAAAAAATAATCATATGATAAACTTTTCATACTTCTTGCTACCTATATTTCATTAAAATGTACTATTTACCACTGTGGCAAACAGTGCGTTATTTCCTCAAAAAATCAAAAATAGAATTATATCATCCAGTGATTCCAATTCTGGGTATATATGCGAAAGAATTGAAGGCAGAATATTAAAGAGATCATTTGTACACCCATGTTCATAGCAGCGTTATTTACAATAGCTACAACATGGAAGCAACCCAAGTGTCCATCAATGGATAAATAAGTAAGCAAAATGTATACACACACACACACACACACACACACACACACACACACACACACACACAATGGAATATTATTCACCTTTAAAAAGGAAGGAAATTCTGACATATGTTACTGCACGGATGAACCTTGAGGACATTATGTTAAGGGAAATAAGCCAGTCACAGAAAGGCAAATACTCTATGATTCTACTTATGAGGTACTTAGGGTAGCCAAAATCACAGAAACAGAAAGTAGAATGGTCATTTCCAGGGGCTGGGGAAGAGGTGAATGAGGAGTTGTTGTTTAATGAGTGTACAGTTTCAGTTTTACAAGCATAAAAGAGTTATGGAGATTGATGATGATGACTGTTGCACATTATTATGAATGTATATAATATCATGAACTGCACACTTAAAATACTTAAGATGGTAATTTATTTTGTTACGTGTATTCTACAATAATAAAAAAAATGAGACGAAAAAGTGCTATTTGCAACTCAACAGAATCTAGTTATAGCATTTTGATTCCCCATGGAGGATATTTCACTAAAATTCAGCTGGTATAAAAACAGGCATTTCCCAGAGGATTAAACAGAAGGCATAATAACCTCTGCAAGAGCTTCTATATGAGAATCCTGTAAGGTTTTCTGTTTTGTTTTGTTCTGAGAGGCTTTTCGTTATTATTGTTAAGATAGAGAAGGCAGAGTTTAAACAAGTTGTAACTTAAAAAGCTTTAAAAAATCCATTTGTTTATAGTGTACTGATTTCTTTGGTATTGTATATTTTATACCAACTATTCTCCAAACTGCTTATCAGAGTTAATGATTCAATTGGTAATTAAATATTATGCTAGATGCAGAACACAGGCTAATGTTCCAAATGAGTTTGATGTGGATGGAGAGGTCTGATCAACAGCTTCTGTAAGGGGAGGACTAAAAAGTTGAAAAGGAAAAAAAAAAAAAACAGTAAGAGAAGGAGAGAAAAAGTGATTCAAGTCTTTCGAATATTTTAAAGCCATAAATTTGAATTAAAAAAAAAATTAGTCAGACAGAAAGTACTTAAATTCATGCTTCATCTAATTAACAGAGAGAAAGGTCATCTGTGCTCAAAAAAAAGGACCATCTTTGATGCTAAGCAGCTGGATTCATCTTCTAAGAAAATCTTAAAGTATTTCTAATTCCCTTTGCCCTTCAACATTGGAACTAATCAGATTTTCACCCATGTATTCTCTCCTTTCCATCTCTCTTCTCCTTTTCCCTTTGTGTGGGGCTTCAGTCTCACAAATTCCACTCTGCCCTCCACACCCTTTACACAATCATCCATCTTAAGTGGGGCTCTGTGGACATAGCCACTTTTTCCCTAGTCATGATCTTTGTAGCCAACTGCTAAAAGTTCCCTTCTCCTGAGGGCCTTCATGCAATTTATGATAGGAACTGAGTTTCTAACAATAGGATTAACTTTGGGTGAAAGTACTGTGTATTTTGGGTGTGGGTCACTGTTTGCTGTACTGATTGGCAATGTACACAATAACTTAAGCAGTGCTCCTTTGAACATTTTAGTTTTGGGTGTGGATATCATGTGACAAAGTTGTCAACTCTTGGCCTTTCTTGAGGGCAATTAGTGAAAACTGGTTTCATTCAGTTTGTTTTGATTTGTTTGGACCAACTATTTGCTCAAGCAAAAGGAGCCTGCTTGAGCAAATAGTTGGTCCAAACAAAAAATTGAAGCACCCTCAACAAAGAAGTTAGGTTGGTTCTCAGCAAGTTCTTCCCTCCCATAAAATGATACCATTTATAATACTTTCTACATCATGGTGTCTCTTGACATCTGCCCTCCTGAACTTGCTCCATATGCTCCTTTCACGGCATCAGGTAAAGTTCGTGGAGCCCAAGAACTGGGGTCCAGGCATGGTTTCCTCTCACTGGAACAGTAGGCACCTCGGTCATGACCACGTAATTGCGGAGTAGCCATGACATGCTCTGGTGAACAAAAATAATTGCTGAACACCAAAGTACATGTAAAAGCACTTTTCTCCCTTGACTCAAGAAGGTTATCATGAACTTTAGCAAAACAAAGCAGTAGTGTTTGTCTTCTGAACATTGGCCCTGAACCTGAACGTGCTTTTAAATTGAGCTAAGGGTTTAAAGAGCTAGTGGACTCATTTAACTCTGTTTATTGCTCTTGCCTCCATTCTGGCTTTGTCCCAGAGATTTCTGATGGCTCCAACAGCACTGGAGTCAGTATCTCTGATGTGTTTGCATCTAACCTCTGACCTATACTTTAGTGTTATTTTCAGCTGTTCTTTGACAGGGAATCCAACAGCTGCTGTTTAATACCACAGACAACTTGTGACACACACTGAGTTTCTAGTAATAGGATTAATCTGCCCCTCTTAGGCTCTGATTTGAAGCTGTCTATAATTTTCCTGCACAAGGCATTGGGGGAGAATAAAAACCAAACCTGAAATACAATGTTACAGGTTTTTTTTGTTTGTTTTTTACTTGTAGAAAAATATACATGGTGTTAATCTATAAACAAACAAAAAAACATTTTTTTGCTGCAATTAAAAGGTAACAGCAAACTATTACTTCTTAATATTTGTGATAACTGAATTTAAAAATTCTGTTCAATGTAGTACAGTAGTCATAAAGAAATCTTGAAATGGTAGATATTTATTTGATAAATGTTCACTGAAATATTTTTTAAATGTCCCTAAGAAATCTGAGGCTCTGAGAAAATGTGACCATTCCACATAAACTTCATTTGACAAAAGGCAGTAAGTTTTAGAAAAGCAAATGAGTCTAAAAATGTATTTCAAGGAATTTTGTGGCTTAATCCCCAAATACCAAAACTTATTTTTAAAGTACATTTTAGAAGCTTTTCTTTGCATAAAAAAGACTTCAAAAATCTTGAAAAGATTTATATCTAGGTCAATGACTAGCTGGTTTCAAAGTCCACCATAACTGCATAGATTCAATGGCAAAACTAATTTGAGTTGTCAGGTTGTAATTTTTCTTTTTTCCATTTGCTGTCAAACATCAGCTGATAGGCAGAGAGCTAGAAGCTGCTCTTCACATTTAAGATAATGGCAAAAATAACAGGCTCTTAGTGTTACCATACTAGGGGTGTGGCGATTCTCTCCAGTTCTCTCTCTCTCTCATGATAAACTCAATGGGGTTGTCTATTTTTAACCTCCTGTTCTTTCCTTTTGGCAGAGTAATCAGTGCGAGCTGAGCTCTTCCCCTGAATGAATCCAAGTAACCCCGGTGGTTGCCTTCTGAAATGACTAGCAGACACACATCTGTACGGAGGCTGCCCAAAGTATAAACTCTGATTCTAAAGCACCATGTCCAGCCAAGGAAGTCTGGGAGTGGAGTTTTCTACAACGACAGTCAGTTCAGTAGCTGTGCAGGCTGGGGACTCTAAAATTGTTATAGCTGTCATAAAGGTAAGCTAACAACTTTCTCTTTTCTGTGTGGCTGTGGGCTTCTTGCTGTGTGTAGGTAATTTTAAAGAACATTCCACACAATCAGTAGTACGCGGCATGTAGAAGATAACACAGTGAGTACATCGTATTACTTTCTTAAAGCGGCAGCTAAGAGAAACCTCTGTTAAGTTTCAGCCACTTACTATAGTTTCTCTTTTATTTAGCAGAAAACATCTACAGCAGCTTTGTTAAAAAAAGAAAAAAGAAGAATAAAACATATCATATACTTTCAATTTGGTTTTTAAAGGCAAGGCATTCGAGATTACAAGTTCATAATTGCCAGGCTGAAGAGTCAAGCAGACCTATGAAATATTTGTGATTTTTGAGAGTGAATGTGATGGAGGAGGGAAGAGGAAGATCTTAACAGATAAGGAGTGGTGTTGTCTTGAGCATGATGGAGCACAGAGAGCACCTAATAAGATGCTCTGATGTGTGCCCTCCTGAGCACTGGATTTCACATGATAAAAACACTAGTTAAACCTTGTCACATCGTTGGGGGAATGAAGACCGTGCCAGGGAAGGTACAAAGGACATGCGTCAATATGCTCTTAACTGCAGGAAGTCGAAGCCACTTGGGGCTTATGTTTTATGACATGTTTTATGTCAAATAATTTGCCCATTTGCAAAGATGATCACACATCTTTAGGTTGAAGAAGACATCCATGATTTTATTTCCCATGAAAGTGTCCTACAAAACCCCCTGAAGCCTTATGCTTGGATTTAGACAATTCACCACCTAAGGAATTCATTGTTTAATGAAGGGGATCCAGCAAACAAGCTGGTACTCACCAGTTACTTTCAGGCTTAATTGAATGACTTTTTTGGCCTTTTGTTAGAGCATGGACAATAGGGCCTGCTTAATTTCACTTAATTCTGTCAATTTTATGTTAATGTGGAAATTATAACAGGAAAGCAGCACTTGACATTGAGCAAGACGATTTACTCTACAAGCACTGAATACAAAGTGTTCCTAGCGAGGCCATTTTCCAGAGCTGTTGAGATTTGGTCCCACATAAACAGGACCTCTGCTGATTTCCTCGCCATCTCATTTTTTTCAAAGGCAATGAGTGGACTTGGAAAAAAGCCTGAAGCAGAAGTAGCAAAAATTGAAATTTTGCATGTGATTTTATGATGCCTTGAGTATCTGCAAATTTTGGCAGGGAGGGAAAAGAGGCAAGCTCACTGTTTTAAAAAAAAAGTTAACTTTCCCCCCCCTCAAATATGAAACATTTCTTAGAGCAGGGTGAGGAGTAATACATATGGAATAAATTATAGGAGAATCAGAAGTGGATTGACAGTAAAAAGAAAAACCTCTAAAATTACACTGGAAACTTATTTTAATTGAAGTGCGTTTCTAAGATTGTTTCCTCTTTTTCCCCTCCCCAGCTCCTTAACTCACTGCCGTCCCATATAAAATATTCAAAGCGCCACAGTCCATCTTAAAGGAATAGAAGTGCCTGTGTCTGACCTGTGTGGGCCTCTTGTTTCCTAATGTTTTCGGGACACTAATTATCTAGAATAGACATACTTGTTCTCATTTCTCTTCAGCAATTCATTTATCCACGTGCATGTGCCTGTTAGTGGTTCATCTTGCTTAATCAATTGTTGCTTCTTAGAAAAGCAGTTCCTCAGCAAATGCAGTGATCAGTTATGTCTTAGAGCAGTGAAGGAGTCCTGAGTGTGGAAAATAAGTTGGCTGCTCTCAAATGGCAGTTACCACACACGTCTAATTTTATTGACATTTTCCTATACACTTCATTGACTACTCAACAACAAAAGTTGGAAAATGTTATGTTTTAACTTTAAAATAAGATACAAATCAGTTGTTTCATCTGCTGTTTGTTCTTTCTGGTTGAACCAGCGAGGTCAATGTAAAGACACTATTCAGCCTAAAGTTTGCATCCTACTTGCCTGAATAGACTTTCACTATTTTTATGAAATTCAGTTTTGTGAGTGAAAGAATGTACAATTGCGTGAATTATTTTGTAACTTTGTAATATTCAATAATACATAATCTATTGTGTGTGTTCTTCATTAGGGAATTTTAGATTTAAATCTAATATGCCAAGAAAAAATAATTTATCTCAAGAATTAAAAAAAGAAAAGGCAAATCATGGATTTATATTAGACCTAGATTTATTTTTCAATTTATTAAGACCCATCTCTATGGAAAAAATTAAATGTTCACAGTGTAACTGGAACTAAAAAAAAAAAAAAAAAAGGAAAGAAAGAAAAGAAAAAGAAGGGTGAAGGGGAAGAAACAAGAGGAACTGAAAGTGCATTTCATTCATTTTTATTTTTAGTGTGGCAAGTGGATACAACTTCAGCTGGCTGAATCACAGCCCAATATTCTAGAAATTGGTAGCAGTCAAGATGAAACCAAAAAACTTCTTCATGATCATGAACTCCTTTTGGCAAAGCTCAAGGTAAGAAAGATGTTAAGATGTGACACAGATACAAAACTAAAAAGGAAAAGCTATTTCTTATACTTCCTCTTGATTCCTCTGTTGTCACTGGGCTATGGCTATTTCAACATAGTTCTGGATAGATAATGGAAAAGCACTATAGTTATGTATACATCAACACTAGAGAGAAATAACAAGATTTTTAAAAACTTTCTCTAATATGATAGAAAATAGAGTGATAATATTTTTACTGTGGAGAAATAAGTATTTATTTTTCCTGGCTGCCTCAGTGGAAAAAAATTTCATTTTTCCATTTTATGCATCATATTGTTAAGTCACAACAGGTCCAAACTTTCTATTGTTAATGATACCTTCTGGCAAGAATAATACAGAGGTTTTTTATTCCCTCTGCCAAACTGTTAATATCTGATTTTGTGTTTAATATTCTTGAAACCAAATAATACTTTTATTAAAATCAGAGTTATTTTTCCATATGTGTGTGGTTAGTTAAGAATCTAAAAATAACATCAGTTTATGATTACTAAGGTATCTAATAAGGGCCAACTACATAATTTATGGTGTCTAGTGCAAAATGAAAATGTGGGCTCTCTTTTCAAAAAGCAGGAAAAAGTTTTTTCTTGATCAGTCATAATGTTTTTTTTAAATCTGCTATTTGATGTCTAACTCGTAGGCATGAGGATGTGTGTGAGGTGAATGCAGAACTTCAGGCCCTAAGCTTCAGCCATGGCTCAGTGCACAGGGTGTGGGCTTGACTTCCTGACTTGTGTCCTGACTCCTGCCAGGGCAGATGACAGAGGTCACTGAGCAGAGGCAGGGAAGCAGACAGGATCGCAAAGAGACTATCCCCAGGAGGTAGAACCACATGCGCAATGGGGCTCCAGTCCTCCAGTACTTCTTCTGTTGTCCCAATGGACTTCGCTTGTAAAACACAAACTCAAAAATAAAATTATTAAGAATTTTAAGACAGTGACAGGTAAAGCATTAAACCCCAAGTGGTTTCCCCTTCTGAGAATGGAGCCTTGTGATACAGCCAGCCCTGTGAGTAATAACCCTCACAGGCAAATGAATGTCTCCACTAAGGTCAAAGAGGTTTAAATCGGGGCTGATGTGACTAGATGTTCCATGTTTTCAGTACTTTAATATTTCTGGTTTCTTCGAACATCTTGGCTGGAATTCATACTTTGTTTCTAAGATTTAGAGGCAGATCTGATCTGCATCTGATTTATACTAACAGTGGTTTTCTGATTGGACAATATTAAAAGTAATTGGGTAAATCAGACTGAGAAATTGAAAAAGAATTAGTGCTGACATAAGGGGTCATTAGAATCCAAAATTTTTCTCCTGTTTAGACAGCTTCTTGGTCTGGGCAAGAAGCTCTGGGCTGTCTTTCAAGGTAGAAATCCCTGGCCACCAGGAATTTCTTTGTGTATCTAAAAACAAAAACAAAAACAAACAAACACATTATAATGTGAAAGAGCATTGAACCAGGAATTAGACGACCCATGTTTTAGCACTAATTATGCCATTTACTAGTGTAATTCAACAAACAACTCAAGTTCTTGCTGCTACACAAAAAGCTCAGTTCCATGAATTGTGGGAACCACTGGGCTTCCTTGAAATTCCTGCCCATCCCCAGAGGTTTCCTTTCTCATGATCTCCTGCGTCTCTAGTTCCTTCATGTGCACCTGTTTCTGAAGTTAATCTGGACTTCAAACTACATCCCATCCCTTCTCCAGGTGCACCTGTTTCTGAAGTTAATCTGGACTTCAAACTCCCATCCCTTCTCCAGATCCCACTAACAGTCAGTGCCCAGCCAGCATTTTCAGGTCCACTGATGAACCGTGGGTGATGAGGAAGCTCACGGTAGTCTGGGTCTCTCAAGCCACCTTTTTTCCCCCACCTAATTCCTGTCCAGGCCCAGGACTCCAGTGAGATTGCTTTCTGAGGTAGAGCAATTCAGCTCTCCTAAAAACTCTGCTCAAATTTGCATACCTAAATCAACCCAGGCGCTCAGCTGGAAAAGGATTTGTCAGTTAACAAGATCCATTTTCAAAAAGTGTTTGTTGTTCTAGATTCTAAAGTCTTGCTGTCCTTGTAGGCCAGTCTTCTGGCTATTGACTAGCCTTCGGGACTTCAGCTTCACATATATTGTAGATCCTTCCATAATGTGCCATGCAATTGTGAGACCATGAGGTCTCGAGTGAAAAAGGCTTTTGGCTTCACATAGGCTTCTACCCATGACGTCTTAATGTCCATCTCCCATACCTTTCCTTACCCTACTTGCCTCTATGAACCCAGCCACCTTCTCAAGAAATTTTTAGTAGCATCATCTTCCAATGTTATTGATTTTTTAAAAAATCAAGGAATCTGAAATCTGCTTCAGATTTGCTGACAAAAGACTTTTCAAAATAACAAAAATGTGAACGTGAATTCCATTTTGCAAGTCTATAGATTACTAATTCAACCAATTTACTAGTAATTGTGTTGTCAGGGCAGGCACAACCTTAACCTGCAGCAGAAAATTGTTGGATCCAAGTTAGTTTTAGTATGAACTTTTCCAAAGACAGGGACGTTCCAAGTCCAAAAAGCCAATAATATTTAACATTTAATATTCATTCCAGTCCTTTTCTTATGCAGAGAGCCCTGCAATTTGTTCTAATTATAATGAAAAATATGCCGTTAGGAGTGTTAAGAGGGTGTAGAAATTCAGTGCTGAGTCCACTCTGATTTGAGCAATGCAGTTAGCCTCTCTGGTCTCAGGTTCTTTATTTGAAAATTTATGATAATAACAGTTACCCTCAGTTACCCTCAAACACCTAAAAAGGAAATTTGGGGGAGAAATGCAGTGATGTATGGAAGTGCCTGCTGCCTTTTTTAAAAAGTGGTATAATTGTTCTGTTAACAATAAATATAACAGAATAATTTGGATGTTTAATTTGATAGAAAAACTATATTCTGCTTTCCATTGAAAATCATCTCAAATCCTAGCAACTTAGAGTAAAGGGGAAAATTCTGGAAGTACAGAATTTTTATGAGTGTTTCTAATGTTGGTAATGTTTATACTCTGGAGATCTTACTTCCCTTTCAGTGGTGTAATTAATTCCAATGGAGTGTCCAGAGAAAAAAATATTTCCCTATTTTCAGTGGGAAAACATAATTGTGTGGAAAAAACATTCACTCCCCAAACGCACCTAAATTCCCAAACCATACTTGAATTATTTACAATGAGAAAGGAGACATTTAGAGAAAGAGAAGAGGGAGATTAAGCCAAATGAAGATCTATCTGCCTGTGGCCACTATGAGTTTACGTCCTCAGGTGGTTCAGGAGGGAGAGAGAAGTGAAGATCTATCTGCCTGTGGCCACTATGAGTTTACATCCTCAGATGGTTCAGGAGGGAGAGAGAGTTGGAGACACCTTAGGGATGTTGCTAAGAATGTTCTTCCTTTCAGTATTGACTTGCAACTAACTACATTGCTACTGTCCAGAAGAATTACAACTATAAGAATCAAGAAACCCTTTGGCCACTGGCTCCTATACTTGTAGATATAGGAATATGTAGATTATATAGGTATGTATTTGTAGATATTTATAGCATTCAGTGAAGAATGACCCTTGAGAGTATAAAATACTAAAATTTTTCACCTCTGACTTGACTCACAAAATTATTGGTTCTCTGATTCTGACTAAATCTTTGACCCAATTCAATGAGTACTTATTTTTGTCCTATTTCCATTAGCTAGAATTGAATAATCAAAATATATTGGCAGTAAAACTAAAAGTCTTATTAAAACTTGCCTTAAATAAGGAATAGTGTGGTTTTCTGCTATGAACTGGAGTATTTACTAAGAATGCATTTTTTATTTTTTTATTGTGCTAAAATACATGTAATATAAAATTTTACATTTCAATCATTTTTAAATGTACAATTAATTACATTCACAATGTTGTGTAGCCATCATCACTATCTATTTACCAGACTTTTTCATCACCTCAAACAGAACTCTGTACCTATTAAGCAATGACTCCTAGTCCTTTGTTCTCTGGTAACCTCTAAGGCACTTTCTACCTTTATGAATTTGTCTATCTTAAGTACCTCAGGTAAATGGAATCATATAATACTTGTCCTTTTGTGTATGGCTTATTTCACTTAGCATATGACTTCAAGGTTCATGCATGTTATAGCATATATCAGAACTTCATTTCTTTCTATGAATAAATAATATTCCAATGTATGGATGGATATACCACATTTGATTTATCCATTCATACGTCAATGGACACGAGTCGTTTCCACTTTTTAACTGTTGTAGATAATGCTACATTAAACATTGGCATACAAAATATCTGTTTGAGTACCTGTTTTTATTTTTATTTTTTTGTATATATATCTAGGGATAGAATTGCTGGGTCATATGGCATTTCTATGCTTAACTTTTTGAGGAAACATCAACATATTTTTCAGAGCAGCTGTATCAAATTAAATTCCCACCAGCAATATACAAGATATAAGTGGTCAAATTTCTCCACATCCATGCCAAAACTTGTTTTCTATTTTTTTGATTATAACCATCCTACGAGGTATGAAGTAGTATCTCTTGGTGGTTTTGATTTGTATTTCCCTAATAGTTAATAATGTTAGGCATATTTTTATGAACTTATTGTACAATTGTATATATTCCTTGAAGAAATGTATCTATTCAAGCCTTTTGCTCATTTCTAAATTGTTTTTTGTTGTTGTTGTTGTTGTCGAGTTGTAGGAGTTCCTTATATATTCTGGATATTAATTTCTTATCAGATGTAGGATTAGCAGATATTTTCTCCCATTCTGTAGGTTGTCTTTTTACTTTCTTAATAATGCCCCTTAGGAATGTATTTTAATAAAGTAAAACAGTGTGACTTGAATTTACATGTTAGAGAAAATTTTATAGCATGCGTGTTGTGATAGTATTAGAAGACTAAACTATTTTACATTACCTGTGTCATAGCAGGTAATGAATCT